GGCAATAGCTACGCGAGAGACTAAACATCTCACTGCCCGGACACTGCCTGATGGTTGTGTGTCCTTCCGAGCAGTATATATAGCTCCGAGCATCAAAGGGATGTGCAAAAAGGCCATAGACCTGATCGGGACAAACCAAACGATACGAACCCGCAGTGGCAGAAATAGCATTTGGATTGTAAAGGAGGTTAGATGGAGGCAGTGTTTCCTTAGTCCTGCCCGAGCAATCCACTTGCTCAATGAAATCACAAACTCCATTTGCTGCATTGAACGCTTTTCCAGGTTCACAGCTCTGAATAAATGTCTGTCCATTAGCGCAGTTTAGGAATTTAATGCAGTCATACGGATGCGCCCGGAGTCCACTAGCTCCAGGTGGACAGTTTATATATCCATTAGCATAGCCGGTCTGCTCATTAGTTTGCAATTCACGACCCTCGTGATTTATTTGATTGCCTTGGTAAAACTCATGCTGCGTCTCTGTCAGATAGTCCACTCGATCGTAAGGAGCCACCAATTGATCCCTGGCCACACAAAGTCTTCGAGAAATACTGAAGACCTCTCCCCGTTCACAGCTCTCAATGGAAGTCTGTTGATCGCGACAGTTCAAATACTTGGTGCAGTCAAACGGATGAAGATAGTAACCCTGAGCATTTGCGGGACACGTAACAGTTGTGAGGTCTTGCATAAAGTTAGCTGAGAAGGGAAAACCAATAAGGATTGCACGGAAGAGGAAAAATAATCTTAGAGATCTTACTAGAAAGCTGACCACTTATGTAAGCATAGTCCAGGAAGTCATAGGAAGAGAGCTGCTGGCGAGCAGAACATCTCCTTGTAGATAGACTATAAACAGAACCCGCTGGACAGGACTCCACTTGCAGTAGACCATTCTGGCAAAGCACGTAATGACCCGCATGGAAGGGATAGGCGTAGTTACCGCGAAGGTTTACTGGACAAGATTTCAATGCAGATTGGAATGCCTGACTATCGGTGTAGCTATAACTTCCCTCCTGTAAACTTTGTTCTGAAAAGAACTTTACCCTTTCGGCTAGTGTCACTTGACCCTTTGGACGACAAGCTCGTTGAACAAAGCTATAAGCCATGCTCTCTCCACAATTCAGGATAGAGAGCTCTCCCCCTGCAGCACAGCGAACATATTTGCCCGCATCGTACGGATAGAGATGAAGACCATCCGTGCCCTCCGGACAACGGGTAAGCATCAGAGCTGAGGGAAGTAATACTCTGAATATATGAGGCGCTAAGAATGGTATGACACTTACAATATTCGTTGCTTATCTGAGAGACAATGTAGGCCACATAATCTGTATATACCAGCTGCGTCTTGGGTTGGCAATATCCCTTTGATATACTAAAGACATTGCTAAGAATACAACTCTGGACAGCGATCTTTCCCGCCTTGCAGTTGAGGAACTTGGTTTGATCGAACGGATGAGCAAACAGCCCCTCGACACCTCCTGGACAGAGTAGATCTCTGAGTCGGGCAGCAGCTAAGACGATTCATTACGATTACAAGACAATTAAGGGATCTAACAACTGCAAGCGCATGAAGAGCAAAAGATGAGACCGAAACCCAAAAATGAGAAGCGTATGAACTAAGCAAAGCGAGTCGTATATGGAATAGAGTATAACTTACAAGTGAAATCTGTGTGAGCAGAAGAGCTTCCAGTGGGAGTGCAGATCAAACTGTGCCTATCAAATATCTCGCCATGTGGACATTGCTCCAAACGTGGTTCCACGCCAATTCCACATAAAATATACTTTGAGGGATCGTGAGGATAGAACACGTTACCCCGTGCTCCGACTGGGCAACTTAGTCCGGTTGATGACCTACTTGTGGATTCACTTGATACTCCGGTTGATGACCCACCTTGATGTCCCTCAAATGCGCCGGTCACACCACCACCGTAGTTCTTCCTGCTTTGACCGGTATACAAGTAACCTTGTCCGCAGTCCACCTTATCTTTGAAGTCACAGACTAATAGAGATGGACTGAAGGCTGTTCCAGGTCCACAGTCCTGAATAAAAGTCTGCCCATTGCCGCAATTCAGAAATTTGGTACAGTCGTATGGATGGGGTTGAACTCCACTAGCTCCAGCGGGACAGACCACTTCTTCATTATCATTGGTAGGCTGTGCATTGGTCTGGAGCTCGCGACCCTGATGAGCCAGATTTTCCTGGTTGAACTCGTGTTGCGTGTCCGTTAGATACTCTACTCGATCATAGGGAGCTACTAATTGATCTCTGGCCACACAAAGTCTACGAGAGATACTGAAGACCTCGCCCCTTTTACAGCTCTCAATCGAGGTCTGTTGATCTCGGCAACTTATGTATTTGGTACAGTCAAAAGGATGAAGATAGTAACCCTGAGCATTTGCAGGGCAGGTAACAGTTGTGAGGTCTTGCATAAAGTTGGCTAAGGAGAAAAAGTAATAATAATCACGGAAACAAGAGCACACGTGATCTAGATCTTACTAGAGAGTTGAACGTTTATGTAAGCATAATCCAGAAAATCGTGGGGGGAGAGCTGCTGGCGAGCCGAACATCTCTTTGTAGATAGACTATAAACAGAACCCGCTGGACAGGACACGACCTGCAGTAGACCATTCTGGCAAAGCACGTAATGGCCTGCATGGAAGGGATAGGCGTAGTTGCCACGAAGGTCAGCTGGACACGATTTCAATGCAGATTGAAATGCCTGGCTATCTGTATAGCTATAGCTGCCTCCCTGAAAACTGAGCTCTGAAAAGAACTTGACTCTTTCGCTTCGAGTCACTTGTCGACTTGGACGACAAGCACTCTTAATGAAGCTGTAAGCTAGGTCTTCTCCACAACTTATGATTGAAAGCTCTCCTGCTGTACAGCGAATATATTTGCCCGCATCGTAGGGATAGAGATGAACACCATCCGTTCCCGCCGGACAGCTAGTGAGCATCAGAGCTGGGGAAACACAAGACTCTGAAGCTATGAAAAGCTTATGAAGAGAGAAAACTTACAATATTCGATGCTTATCTGAGAGACAAAGTAAGCTACATAATCTGTGTATAGCAGCTGCGTCTTGGGTTGGCAGTATCCCTTCGATATGCTAAAGACCTGACCAGGAGAGCAACTCTGGACAGCAATCTTTCCCGCCTTGCAGTTAAGGAACTTGGTTTGATCAAACGGATGAACAAACAGGCCGTCGACGCCTCCCGGACAAAGTAGCCCACTGAACCGAGCGGCAGCTGAGAGGATTCATTAGGATTATAGGCAAGACAAGCAAACAAGCTACTGGAAGCGTATGAAGAGCAAAAGATGAACGGATCCCCAAATGAGAAGCGTATGGACTAAGCAAAGCAGGGCACAAAACATATAATATACGTGGACTTCAACTTACAAGAATAATCGGCTGAGGCAGAGGAAGCCCCACTCACAGAACAGGTCAAGCTATGAGTATTGAATACCCAACCTGGCAGGCATTGCTCCAATCTTGGATGCACGCCTGTTTCACATATGATGTACTTCGATTGGTCGTTGGGATAGGGAACTGGACCGCGAGCACCCGCTGGACATTCAAGGCTAACCGAGGTACCTTTCACTTCACCTGGGCTTGTGTTAGTTGGGGAACGCTCGTTAGAAAACAAGACTCGAACTCACCTTGACCTGACGCTGCTCCACAATTCACTTTGTGCTTGTAGTCGCAGACCAGCTGAGTTGGACTGAATGCCGTGCCAGGCCCACAGCTCTGAATAAAAGTCTGTCCGTTGGCGCAGTTGAGAAACTTCGTGCAATCGCTGGGGTGTGGCTGTAGCCCACTGAAGCCAGGTTCACATCGCGGCTCTAAAGGACGCTCCAGCAGTCGCGCCGAGCGACCAGGCTGACCCTCGCAGGACACTTGACTCTGGTGATCACATGTTTGTATGACGGCATTAAAGGCCGTACCCGGTCCGCAGGTTTGTATAACAGGACGACCCTCAGCACAGTTGATGAACCGATGACAATCGTGCTCATACGGTTTCAATCCTCGAAAATGAGACGGACATGCCACCTGTTCTTGAGCTTGAGTCGTTGCTGATAACCCGGACTGCCCAGGCTGATGATAAGCGATCGATTCAGCTAGCTAGAAAGACGCAATAAGCAAATTTTATTGGGGGGAATTTTAGAAACAATAGATACTATAGATCAGTGGAGCAGACTTCCGATTCAATAGGCCAAACTAATTCATATCAATTAGTAAATATATGCATATATATGTATTTGCTTACGTTCAAGACGAGAAGCGACAGAGCCAGGCTCCAAGCTCTCCCAATCATTTCTTCAATTTATTTCCTATATATAGTTTATATATATGTATATAATATATATTTTAAATATGTTTTTTTTTTCTCCACTGATAGCGCTTCGCCCGAAAAGTGATACGAATATACGAATATTTATATTTTAGCTGCTCTTTCGCTGAGCTTCGAAGCTCGACTGAGGCACAGGCAATCTTTCAATTGGGATGCTGCCTGGTGCTGCATCCAATTGAATGCCGTCTTATCTCTGGTGGCAATCATCTAGACCTTTTGATAGGCGCTTATCATTTGTTGTGCTGTCACTTCTGCTACCCTGTAAACAGATGACAAATGGTCGGAAGTGTACAGAAAGTAACTGGGCACAGCTGCTTTTCTTATGAGTAGGTATACTTAAAAATATACTCTCTTCTTAAACTGCATTTCTTAAAGCAATTAAACTGTCTGATTGAGACTACAGAAGCTTAATTGCTTTAACATCTCGAAATAAATTTATCACAAGGTAGCTCCAACTCATGCTCTCTTAACTATAACATTTTCAATTGTTTACAGGGTAGCTATTAGTCATGCCTGCTTAACTAGATCATTCTTAACTGTTGACATTATTCTATTTTTTTTATTTTTTTTATGGGGAATTTCACACAGTTTATTTCTAGAGAACAGGATGAGTCTGCACGGATGATCCAATGATTTACAATGATGCAGTCGCGTGGCTTTGTTTACAAACTCTTTATATTTACATGACAAATAAACGAACTAGGCAAACTTAACAGAATGAATATATATATTTACAATATACTATATATAAGACTCATGGCGCTCACTTGTTGGTCGACTTGTCAGCAGACATCTCTTCTAATATTCTTGCCCGTTTTTGTATCTTCAGCCAGAGCTGATCGTACGGCTGCTCGAGCTCCGTTTGCGTCTTGGGAATTCCCACAGCTCGCCTCACTTCCGGCGAGAGCAACAGCAGATTTTGGGCCAAGCCGAAGGAACTGGAAGCCACCCAATAGACGCAAAGGGCTGAGGGCACAGTACAAGCAATAGGCACCATTAGTACACTCAATCCTCTAAAGACATTATTAGCTATGTTCTGCAGACGTGTTTGAGGACGCGTACGCGTCATTGTCTGCACCTCTATGATGGCCAAATTGATGAGGCCAAGTGCAACAGGCAGTATATAAGATCCATCTACAACTGTCAGATTGGGAATCCAACCAAAGCCCCCAATGGTTAGCTCTGTTGCCGCGATTTGGGCCTTCAACGATGTAGGATCGGGCAGCATATAAACCAAATTCCGCAAGGCAACCGATTGGCAAATCCACAAAGGTATTTGTCCCCACAACACAATGATTGTCTTCATGGGATGGCAATTATCTCGTATAATGAGTTTCTGCCATTGTTTCTTGATCTGCAAGTAATTGTGGTTACAATAAGCCTCGACACCTCATTCAGCTACAAACCGATCTCCTGTAAACAACTGCCGTTTGCTTGTCGCTCCATTTGAATTTCTGTTTGGCCATCGCCGCCTCTCTTTTGAGCTCTTCCACTATTGCTGGCATTTCCAGGGCAATGCCTTCTATGCGTGCTGTGATCCTATGCTGATAAATGGTCAAAGGCAACGTCACAACGCTGCGAAACAGAAATGTGGACAACACTATAGCGGACCACCAGGGTAAGCCACTATAATCGTGTATTTGGATCAATGCATCTTGTATATAGGCCACCGGCGTGCTGTTCGATAGTGTTTGCCAGAAGCCGACCATGCCGCTGGCATTGGAGAGCTGTGCGGCAGCTGTAGCTGCTGCTGCCACTTCTGTGGAGGCATATCTCGTGTGCATGTACCCATATTTAAATCGCCGGCAGGCGCCCAACAGTAATGACATTATTCAAAACAAAATATCAACTTATTATCACATTCCGTACAATGTGACCGTACGCTAATAGAGTTGAAAATACCTCATGAACAAACGGAAAAATACTAAAAATATGTTAGTCAACAGTGAATGCGCCCTGTTATGTGTAGAGATAATTAACAGAACTCTGTATCTTAATTGGTCGATGTTGCGTCGCACTGTTCGGTCGCACAAAAAAGTAAAATTAACAAGTTTCATTCAATAGTAAAGAAAACGGATTTATTTGGACTTATATAGTTATAGTTATGAATATACCCCAATGGCATACAATACCGGCGGTGGCACTAAATCAAATATTCGACTATCTCGATACTCGAGACCGCATATCTGCGGCCAATTGTTGTTGGGCATGGAGGCAACATTTTTTTCAAAGACGGTAAGTCCTAACAGTATTCATATATACCTATATATATATGTGTATTTACTTATACGCATATGCATATAAGCATAAAGGTATGCATGTGTGTGAGAGTGGCTCTGTGTTTGTGGGCATTTTCGCTTTTGCGTCTCAAACAAACAAATTGGTGCTTCGCTAGGTGACGCACAGCTGTTTTGCCCAGATGCCAAACAAGGGGCGAGTGGGCGGGGCGCTGTGAGTTTTTCTATTTTGTTTTTTCTTGCTTCTGGCAAGCCTTGAAAGACAACAAAGCATTTATTAATACGTGTAATAACAAAACAAAGCGCTGCCCCACTCACACGCACACAGCTGCACAATGAAAATGTTGCTATACCAATGCAAACATACATACACAAGCATATAGTACATATGGACCCAAACACACAGCTGATGTTTCCGTCAAAGCGAGCGACAAAAGTTATCGTACAGCGTGTTAAGTAAATGCAAAATTACAATACATATATAATTCAAAAACTATTTCAATGTCAAAGGCAGATTATACAAAGCTAGTACGAAAAGTTATGGTATAAAATGCTTACAAATTTATTTAAAATTATTTTACATAATTTGATATATTTGAAACAATAAAATTGTGATTAAAATTTTGAAGAGTTTATTAAATTAACAATAAATTAATATTTTGATTATTCAATGACAAGATTTACAATAATTTCAACTGTGCGCATACATTTTCTTACCCACTGTATAGCCGAAATTTAATTTATTTTGAACTTTCGCCACGTCTGCAGGTACTTTAGAAACTTTCGCTTTCACATTGACGTGGCTAAGGATGAGCAATTGGCGTTCTTCCATCGCAGCATGGCCAATCTGGCCAAGGAGCTGGTCATTGTCTTCGATTTCCACAATGCCTTTCACATACAGAAAATGCGTCGGCTGCTCTACAAGTAAGTGACCAACTTAACTCTATCTCAAATATCTCTCTAATATTCTCTTTCACTTGGTTATAGGGCAGCGCGCTGTGATAACATTCGAGCGATACGTTTCCAAACAAATAATGTGGGCCTCGTTGCTGCTGGCAACATGCATAGTGAACATCTGGTTGCCATCGAACAGTAAGAAATCTCATCGATCATCAGCTCTAGCCCATTCATTATCTTCCACCCTTTCAGATGCTTCGTGGAGCCCTTAAAGTTGATTTTGAGCCGCAAAAATCAAGCGTGTCAGATCTTGGATCTGGGTGCCATCGAAGCGCTTACCTATTATGGCCAGGACTTTCTAAAGACCATGGGCAAGCCGCAGGAGTTACTGCAGCTAACGCTGGCCAGCATCAAATATGATCCTAGTCACTATCCCATACTCGGGCTGGATGCCACATTGCTTCAAAAATGTGCCGCCTTGCAGGTGCTCTCCCTGGACTATGATACGCTCAACGATGAGCTCTTGCATACCATACAGGTTTTGCCGTTGCGTAAGCTACTCATTGTTGTGCATGGGCTCGATCAGGAGGAGCATGGCGATGTCTCAGAGGCAGCTTGGTCAAATTTCTCAACACATTTTACGAACATTGAGCTGGTGCTGACGCTTGTCTATGCCTATGAGGCCGTGGAGCAGCTGCAAATGCGCATTCTGCGCCGACACATGCCCGTCACTCACATTCGCATGCTCTTCTGTGAGTTTATGAATCATGAGGCACTCGATTGGATGTCGGTGCACAATAGCGATACTTTGCGCAGCATCTACTACATTGATTCGTTGAGCAAGCATTCCAATATGCGTCACACCAGACGTCAGGATCCCTTTGTCATGTTATCCTGGCGCTGCAAACAGCTCGAGGAGATCGTCGTCCACGGTTACACCATGGATCCGCACAATTTGCTGGGCATCGCACGATTGCGCGGTCGACAGTTGCGACGTCTCGAAGTATCACAAATCGATTGGCAATCCAACAGCGCGGCTCAACCTCTTTTCAACGAGGTGAGTAGCTGGCTATAGTTGATTAAGTTTTCAGAGTTCATTTAAGAATTCTTTTGCAGGAAATGTGCACGTTGTTGGGTCAACAATGGACGCGTGTCGAGCCCGAGCAACTGCCTAGCGAGGCATTCGGACCAGTGGACTACGATATAAGGGATAAATATGTTTATGAATTGATGCGTCAGGATCTGAGCCGTTGAAGCACAACATAAAATCAAATGCAACCAAAAATCGAATAAAGCAACGTCATGCAACAGCAAAAGCATCAGCACCAACAACATCAAAAAGCAGAACAACATGACACGTGATCAAATCGAGCGCATAGAAATTTGTAGCGTTTAGAAAAACTTTTACGTAGGCAACTAAAAAAAAAAAAGAAAATCAAAAAAAAAAAAACTTTAAAACAGGGAAAAGCTCTTGGCTTTTCTGTTAAGGTAAAAAAAAAGAAAAAGTAAAAAGCAAACGATTTTTGATATGTATAACGTAAACACTTTAATAATTGGCAAGCCTTTGTACAACTAACAAATTTGATTTTAACTTTTGTCTTTCGTATGCTAAACTAAGTAAATTTTTAAAATTTCAAATTATTTTGTTCGGCCAACACAAAAAAAAAAAGAAACAAATATGAAAGAATATGTTAACGGGCATATAAAAGACTTGAGCACTTCAAAAATGCAAAATGTAAAACGAATTGTAAACACACATACTAACGGGCAGTTTGTTGTTAACATAATAATACTAGAAAGTTAGAAGAGCAACAAACAGCGACACAAGTAAGATAGTTAGGACAGACGACAAAATGTGAGGGAATGAATGGATGATATGTAGAGAACATCATTTTATAAGCAACAACAACTGTGATTTAAACAACAAAATATAAAAACAAAATGCAAGCAAGCAAGCAAAAGTGAAGCCAGTTACAGCAAACAGCCGCAACAACAACCAATTGTTAAGCAAATTGTCTAGTTAGCTAAGTAAAATATATATATAAAAAAAAAAGATTTAAAAAACAAAAAATCGTGTTGAAAATGTTTGTAAACCAAAAATGAAAAGAAAAATAACTGACCAATGTCAAATTGTTAGCTCAATCACTTGGCAAAACAACAAAAATTGTTAACTTTTGTAATGTATGAAAAGAATATCAAATGTAAAAAGTTTGGCGCTCCATTGTGATAAGACAACAACAACAACAGCAACAACAATTGTAACATCAACAAGAAGATGAGCCATTTGTGTAGTTATCAAAAAGTGATATTAGCAGCTTATGTAAAGCATATTGTAAACAGCGCACGCCTGCAACATATATATATATATATATAAATATATATCTGTATAGCTAAAGTCCAGTTGGTGTGGCGTGTGCTGTTGTAAAGAAAACTTGTTAAACGAGAGACATGCGTTAGCCAGAATTGAATTGAAATCGTGTAAAACCCAAAATGCAATCAATCGCAACACTTGAGTATTTTGTATTTTCGTAGCAACAGGCATTCATTTATACAATAACAACTACTATATATAGTTTACTTATGTTTGCACAAAACAAAACAAAAAGAAAAAAACAACAACAAAAAGAAATGTTAGCTGAAATGTTTGCCAAGACAATTGTCCAACAGGTGCACAGCAGCTGAGCAGCTAGGCAAATCATGTATATATTTATATGTAAATGTATATATATATGTGTAAATGGTACCTGAAGATCACTTGAGCATTTAAGCGAACAACTCACAAAGAACTTTGCTCAAATTTAATATAAAACAAAACAAAAACAAAAAAGTAAATAAACGAAAGACTGAACAAAGGCTCAGCTCGACTTGACTTGGCTCTGTGGCAATTGTTTGATCAATGAACTATCAATTTGATCAACTGGCAAACATGCAGCAGCAGCAGCAGCAACAACAAAATGCGATCTCAAAGAATGAAAAAAAAAAAAAAAAAAAACAAACACACTTTTACACTATCCAACCAGGTGTATATATAACTAAAGCTAAAAAGAACTATGCATGTATTTTTGTTATCAATAGCGAATATTAATTTGTAAAGTGAACAGAAAATTAAGCAATCGTCTATATGTGTGTGTGTGTGTGTATGTGTATGTATATGTATATGTATTTGTGTATGTACAACACAATGTAATTTAGTTTAGCCTAGTACATACCAACAACAAACAACAACAACTAAATGTGATAAACGTGTCATGCTGCTTCCAACAACAAGAACAACAAACAACAGCCAGAAGTGCACCAAAGATGAAACACATGAATATATATACACATATATAACTCTATATATATATCTATATATCTACCTATGTATGATCTTTAACAAAAGTGAATAATTGTAGCTCCGACCTTATTGTTTTAACAATCCAATGCAAAAGTATTACAATTCATTCAAAAAGCAAAAACACTTCCAAAAACGCTGCGTATGAGTAATGTTTCTTTTTCTATACAAAAAACGAACACTCGAAATGAAGAGAAAAAACAAAATAAGTATATATATATTTTATATGCCATTTATTGTATTTAAAGCAACAACTTTTTGTAAATCATTCCACTCACACGCACACACACACACATACACACAACACTAAGCTAACGTATGTATTAGAGCAAATGTAAAGGGAGCACTAAGACAAACAACAACAACAACAAGCAACAGCCAGTGCATTAAGAACAACAACAAATTTATATATATGCAAGTTATGCTTAAATAAGAGATAAATAACAAATAACATAAGCGCAAAAAAGTGTATAGAAGAAAGCTGTGATAAAAAAAAAAAAAAAAAAAAAAAAACAAATCCAACAACACAAAACACACAAACAACAACAGAGTAAGGAGAAAAGTATGAACCAGAAGAAGAAGAGAGTTTATAGAGTACACAAAAGCCAATGCGAAACATATGCGACCAACCAAAGGTTAACAACAAAATAAACAAACAACAAAGAAATGTTTAAGAACACAAGTAGAAAGGGGAGACAAATGGTTAAAACAGTTGCTCGTTTGGAGTTTATATTGAAAATATGCAAAATATGTTAGCCTAGCGAAAGTAAAAACAGAAAATAAATAGCAAGAAGAGCAGTAAGAACAGATAATGAAGTGTTTAAGCAACAACAACAAGTGAGAAAAATGTGCACATAATGAAAAAGAGAAAACAAATTATCTATGCTTAATTTTATGTCAAAAACTAAACGAAAAAGAAAACTTATTTTAAAATGTATACTTTTATTTGCAAGCTTTTTAAGTTGTAAAAGTTAAAAAAAACTTAAACGAAAAAAAAAACATTTATAAGCTTCTATGAAAAGCCAATTAAATAAAATATTTAGAGAAAGCAACAAAAACAACAGCAATTTTTGTGGCATATGCAATATCATAAATTTAAGCAAAGTTACAGCAGCAAAAACAAAAACTATATATATACACCACAATTAAAAAATTTATAAAAATAAAATGCAATAAAAAAAGCAAAAAAAAAAAACGAATACTTGACAGTAGCATTGAAAATGTATCAAAGAAAATTCTAAATAAAATTCAATAAACCGCGTTTCAAAATTTAACACAAAAAGGTTTGGGCATTTAAAAGGAAGCCAAAGAACTTTATAGTTAGGGAGGGAGACAGTTCAGTTAAAAAATATTACACAAAAAAACTTTTTTAAATGTTTTATATTTTTTAATGACAATTTATATAGTATATAGCTATTATTCTTTCACTATACAGCAAATCTCTAAGGAATGTCAATCTTGGAGCCGCTCTATATACATTTGTATATTACTAATGTGCAGAGCAAACCCATTTTCTATCTATTTTTACCTACCTGTGTATATTTACCCAAACTTCCTTAACTACATTTGATTACGGTAAGTAAGCCCTAAGGTAACGCTTTCATACCGCAATAAATATATAATAAAGAGATAAACACCCTGTAGAAATACTGACACATGCACACACACACACGCACACTCGCAGCAATACAAAAGTATTAAAAACAATAAACAAAACTGGATAATAGCCTTAATATGCCCCTATGGGCGACTTTGTGGCTGCAAATATTATCGCATGGTTAAGATAATAAATATGACACGCCCACCGACCCACACCCTCCCACCCTCGCCCCATCTCTCTCACTTCGCAAGCAATTTTCAATGCATTCTTCTATATTGTTGCCTACTTCAGGGCGCTCGCAGCAGCTGTTACACAATCAAAACATCAACAAAAGTCAGACGCACACAGTCACAGAGTCGCTCACATACATACATACATACGGAAGTCCATAAAGGCACACACACACCCACATACATGTACACCCAACTTACGAGAGCGACAGAGAGAGGGACAGAGAGAGAGAGAGAGCTAAAAAGCGAGGCAGCGCTTGAGCTTTTCCACTATGCAAGCAAAAGTCCTTGAACTTTTGACCTTGTTTTGCAGAGTAACGGTTGTTATATAAGCGACAGCTGCATTATGCAACTCGGCCGCAGTGCTTGTTGAACTGTAAACGCCTCTGATAAGAAAAAAAGCAGCCTTATGTGCAGATAACGTTTGTTGGCTGAGTGACTGCGCTGAAAGACTTATCTACCTGTTGGCCAAGCGGACAAGCGAGCGAGCGAACGAGCGGATGTTAGAATAGAAAGTCGACAGCAATTCACGTAATAGAAATATGATATATGTACATGTGATTCCCAGGTGCTACTTTTAGTTCAATATAGTTTCCCATACGATTTTGGGTACGTGCAAACAGCGCACACAGTTTGTGAGGCACTAATAGCGAGCAGTGCTGCTCAAACTTCTAGCGCAAAGCTCTTGAGCACAATGTTGTGGATACCCAGTGAAAATTGATTGGCCAAAGGGGGGTATATTGAATGTATGACTAAAGTAATTGTATATATCTATATATATACTTAAGAATATTTCACTATTATTTGAAAGGAAAAGTTAACTAAAACATATAGTTTAGAGGGTAGAGAAATCTCCGACTCTTCTATTGACAGAGTCTGTAGAGTATACACACATTTTGGTACAGGGTATCTAGATAGTCACCCTTTCATAAACTAATTGCAAGTTAATTTATTTATATTGATTCGCACAGCCTTCGTTCGCCTTTTGGCTGCATTTAACGCTCTAGGCATGATTGATACGTCGAATATTTGAGACATAGCGTAATGGCGTTGTATGAGTAACAAACGCCCGGTATCTAAGCAAAGAGTATAATTCATACAGAGTATATACATGCACACACTCACACACACACTTATATAGGTTGCTGAAGGAAAGCTTCATAGTTGCAGCAGCCGCTACGTGAAAAGAGAGAGGGAGAGAGAGCGAGTGAGAACGAGAGGGATGACAGCTGCGGCATCGGCGCACGCTCTCTCAATCGCTTGCGCTCTCGCTCTCTCTCTCTCGCTCTGGCCGTATGGCCGCAGTTGCCCGTTGATTTTCGCACAGTCGAAAATTTGTTAGCAGCACGAAAGAAGCGCAGCAAGTGAAGTGAAAGAAAAAAAAAAGCAGAGAAAAAATCAACAAACATTACATGAAAATTTTTAAAAACAAAATTTAAGACGTGTGTGTTTTTTGTACAACCTTTTTCGTAAACTAATACAACATAAATCGCATTTAAAAAATAAATTTTTGAAACATTTTACTCCCAAACAATAAACGAAACGACACGAAAAGCTCTAAACGAATTAATTAACCAACCCAACGTGAACTAAAACTTTAGACTAGCTGCATTCTTAACTTGCTACTAAAGGTGAGTGCAAGCAGTGTGTTGCATGCAACGCGTTGTCTGTGTCATACATATTTATGACTAATTCAAATTTACGCGCTCTCTCCCTCTCTCGCTCTGGATAACGCTTGTTGTGACGTAACGATTTTTGTGCGTGTGTGTGTGCATGTGTAAAAATATCTCAAATATTGCTCATACGCCGCTACGCTAAGCATTAACAACAACAACAAACAGTAGCCATAGCTCAAGTCACACAGAAGTCCAACTCTCTTGGCACACATTTCAATAATAAACTAAAGCAGATTCTCTTCCCTTTCCTATACTCATTCGCTATCCCGTTCCCCTCCCCCTTCTCTTATTTGCACTCGCTCACTTCTAAGGCGCTTAAATAATAATAAAGCAAGCCATGTGAATTGCCAGCTCTGCCCTCCGCCTACTCTCCCTCTCCCACTATCATTCCTCATTCTTCTTTCCTTGGCGCCTGCCAGTGTTGCCCCATTTATGCAAAATCAATCGGCAGCCAATTGCCCAAAAGATGCGGCGCGACACTCACGTGTATGTGTGTGTGTGTGTGTGTACATCTGTGTATGCATGCAGTTTTGTCGTTTTAATTGGCAAGCGAGTTACTCACTCACACACAGACACACACACACATGCATGCGCTTGGCAATCAGTTGTTTATAAATAAACTGTGCACAACAATCAAAGCAAAATTTATGCCGGCAAATGTTTTGACTCGATTTTAATTGCGATTCTAAACGGTTTATTGATTGTATTTATTCGTGCACTCAATTTTGCTTCTAGCATTGAAATATTTTACTGAAATGGGCTATAGACTAGACTTCTGTTGCTTTAGTCATAGTCATAAGTGCTATAATTAACCTGTTTCATTTTATTCCATTTATTTACAGAAAACAACAATAATAAACGATGTTTGCATTGTGGTATCTGACGTTCGCCGTTGACGAAATACGGTAAGTTCTAAACAGTTTGAGAGTCATTGCTGGAAATAGTGGGACACTTTGTGTTGCATATTTTTTGGCGCAAAGAAAAATATTAATTTTAAATGAGATAACTGTTGAGTGGTCTATGTTTACTTAACGTTAGACACGGTAGAGACTTATCGGCTCAAATTCTATATAGCCAACGTAATCAGCGAAACAAATATATGGTCAGACTTTTCACTTCTTATAGTAATAATGAAATATTGAATTTAAGTTAAGCTATATATGCAGGTATTTAAAAATCTAATAGATCTAATAAATCTATAGATCTAATTACTCTAATTAATATGCTAATTTCAAAGCTTAGCAACAAAAGTTGTAAAAACTTAATATTCTTTCAATACGTCAACTGATTTATGGGTTTCGTGCTTAATATATGATAACGTAATATCCCAGTATTTAAATTCTCTGTAACATAATCACATTTAAGCACATCACATTTCAAAGCTAAGCAACCATATTTAGTAAAGCAAAAGCAGAACAAGAGAAAATTGTGCCTTTTGTATTTATCATACATATATTTGTAGATTAGAAGCCCCTGTATTACATAAAAAATCTAATATTATCCTACCTTTGCTTTTATTTTATTTGTCAATCGATAAAAGTGTTAAATTTTACTGCTAACTGTAAACTATAATCTTCCCTGCTTAACAGTAATGGGTCAATATGGGTACACTCACGATTTGTAATCTAAGCAATCACACTACTTTGTGGCTTTTCGGATTTGTGCCGAAGATGTGCTAAATATACACATGGCAGTAACATAGTGCATTTGTTACTGTCACATGATAATATTACCCGATTTGTAGTTCCTATAAAACAGCAACAAAAAGATATTAATAAACGACAATCTACACACACTCTCAATCAACCGGCTTTTGGCTTTCGCTTGCCGGTTATAGCGCTCATAATGATAACTGCAATTAGCAACGGAAACACACACAAGAACGTGCACACACACACATACACATATACACTGACACACTGGAACTCGAACTCAAACTCAGTGAAATTAGCAAATTTGCCAAAATAAAAAAATTTGTTTTTGATAGCTTCTTCTCTTGTTGTTATCTGAGCTCTGTGCCATTGTTTAATTAGCAAAAAATAATAATGTGATAATTGAAGTTTGGCAGCATTTCAGTATCCAGTCCAAGCTCGAGGGCGTATACGTAATATCGCTCAGGTACTTAGCGCCTGTATTTGTTTGCTTATCTATTTGCCGTACACGAGTTTATGTATATAGCTAAATTTTTCTATTTTGTATTTTTTC